TTTATTTGTCGATGACGACTTTCAAACATAGAAAATATTTTTCAAATTGTTTTATTTTTGAACCTCATGTGCGATAGAGGGAATTGTGAAGTACGACATTTCCGTTGCAGCGTAACACTTTCACCACAGTATGTTGCAGAATAACATAAACAACTAGCTTTCTTCTCGTAAAAATAATTATATTTTTAACGTTTATCGTCTTTAGGGATATCTCATGTCGTAAAAATTAATAATGAGTACAATGTAATTGCGTTAAAGTACTTGAAATACTGTCTATAGTTTACGCAAGTAGTACACATTGAAATAAAACACTTTAACGGATGATCGCAGCAGCCGTCTCTCCCCGTGACCACGGCTGCTGCAAAGCATCCGAAACGTCGGGCCGAAGTTAAAAATAATTTCCAAATAAGTTTAACTAATATATCGCGTTTTAAACCGTTAAAGTGTTTTATTTAAAGTACTTTTATTAAGGTTGATTTTTGTACTGATTGTTTTGTTTCTTTAAACAGCTTTGGTAGATATTTTCAACATCAAAACCAACGGTTAGTAAAATAAAATAGACTATCTATGTTTATTATATTTAAAATATCTTTAAATATAATAAACATGCAATTTTTACTTAACATGTAGATGTGATTGGTAGAAATAGAGTGAGATTGGAAGTGGCTATTTAATGGCTACTTTTGTTGTTCGAACTCTGGGTCAATATTTTAGAAAACATATTAAATTGTTAAAAATCCAAAATGCTATTTCGCGAGGGGACAAACAATACTTTTAAATAAAACACTTTAACGGTTTAAAACGCGATATCGGATGCTTTGCAGCAGCCGTGGTCACGGGGGGACACGAAATGTCGGGCCGAAGTTAAAAATCATTTTCAATTAAGTTTAACTAATATATCGCGTTTTAAACCGTTAAAGTGTTTTATTTAAATGTGTACTACTCGCGTGAACTATAGGCAGTAGTATACTGTTTTGTATAAATTCATTAAACAAATGATAATTTGTTATTAAATGAATTTTCTCGAAAGCTTTCCGCTGTCGTAAATAAACCTTGAAGATGAACTTACAAACAAGACATTACTATAACAAGGAACATATTATTTAAACTAGTAAGATCCGTTGATTACTCGTAACATCCAACTTCTAACGTTATTTAGTCGTAGTTAACTTAAAATGCATTGCATGTTCGTACACCCACTGGAATACTAATATTGTTCTGTACAAAGTAAAGGAACAACTTCAATTACTTATAAGACATTGTTCGATTATCGTTACATTGTTAACTAATCTATTCATAATTAGATTAATACATTTATAGTTTGCCTATTTTTATCTTAGATGTGTTTTTGTCAGTTCGGTTGATTTTAAAATCATATAAAAACTTATGTTGAATATCGTATAAATTTTGTTAAAGGTTCATTAAATTGCTAGCTGATCCGTCAAATGTTGCTTGGCCATATAAATTAGTTCCAGGGAAAAAAGAACGCGGCTATCGATGGAGACATTAAAATAACAAAACACCAAACATTAATTTATTGACACCTATAAGCGACTGAGATAATATACCAAATGATAATTGATCAGTTATCGAGGGAGATGAAAAATTATTAAATTAACAAACAACTGTTAATAAATTAGGGTTGGTGATAAAAGAGTAAAGAATCAGAGTTATATGTAGTTGTGTTTCTAATGCAATCTTATAAAAATAAAAAAATATCTAAAATTAATGTCAGGGTTAGATAACCCTTATTATTTAGGGGTTTGAAATATAGGTACCGATTCTCTGTCTCACATATTTTACAAAGAACAGTCAAGCCGTTTCAGAGATGTATGACAACTACAATTTTGACACGAGAATTGTATATATTCGATTCGTAACGTAAATGTATTCGAATTTCGAATTTGAGCATTGACTTGCATACTTTAGCATAAATTAGTGAACTGTATGAAAACATCAATTGATTTGAATTGTAATGGAAGGCGAGCGCGCCGTCAGAGAGAGATAGCTGCAGTCTGTGCGCTCCGTGTTTACAGTAAGGACGGTCGTTGCCCCGCCGCGACCGCGACTGAACTCCAAATAATGCGTTTATTTATTATGCCCTCGTACTACGATTTCCACGGACTGTAGAGTGTCGATCGAAGATTATCTTCCGCGATTAGAACTACGAACTTCCGCGTATAATGTGACATATTATTATTTTGTAGCGCGCTAAGTACTACTGGTAACAAGGTTGAACGGTTTCCTACAGAAAAAACATTCGCCAGTTATGATTCACGGATGTTAATTATCCCTATGTAAGTATTTATCTAAGTGGAACATATGAATAAGGAAATAAAGAAAATTTCAATACTGTAGTAATATCAGCCGCTTGTTGTTTAATAATTTAAGACATTTATAAATGTCCGTCACTTTAAAATATTTTTAATTAAAAATATTTTTTTAAACTTTATTGTAGAGTTTAAAACTCGTCATTTATCTTCGTACGTTTTTATTCCACGTGAACTGATCAAATTACTTGGTAAATTGTAAAATCCAATTCTAGAAAGTAATGTCTAGTGGTTACTCGCTTAAACTATAGACAATATTTAGTTGTATATTGTTGATTTTTTTATAAGTATCCTATTACATCGCACAATGAAAGATTATCAGTAAGAAAAAAACTTTCATTACTCTGTAACACACGTTTAATGTTCGCAATAAACCATACATTGTTTCAACGTATTCAAATATCTTTAATGCGGTTTGATTCAGTTGAATGAAGATTCAACTTCCGATAGCCATAAGGGCAAAGTCAATGACACAACCGATTGAAATAAAATTGGTTTCAATGTCCTCCATATTAAACAATCTTACGTAGTTATTAGTCACTAGCTCGTCATCGGGTATTCGACCTGGTCGTCATTTTTGAGCCATACATTGACTTCTACTATTAATTTGTATATACATTAGTCTAGTTTTCCCGGAAAATGATCAAGGTAAGCTTAATATTTTGCAAATCGCATATTCATCGTACTCAAATTTAGGTTCGTAGAACATCTTTGTTTGTTAGAAATAGGACATAATTAAACTAAAAAAAATTGTAGCGTTGAATTTAACTATTTTATCATTTTAAATTACATTTAATTTATTAAAAGTAGCTATTCTATTAAGCGATGAACAAACTACACACTTCCCGCACGAAAAGGTTTTCATTCCATTTTCAAAAATACTTGTTCGGAAAATGTTGTCTATAAATTCTAATTTTGATCGGTTTATTTTCGCAACCATATATATAGATATATATATATATTTATAGATCTCATAATTATGTTTGTCACAGATTGCGTTCTAGATAACAATATAAAAACACAAATGAATTCAAATTCCAATTTCAAAAACATTTCGTTACAAAAATACTTATACCACAGATTTAAAATAACACATTGCATTTGGAGCTCACAGAACTGATATAAGTTTGTTTTACACAGATTGCGTTGTAATTCGATATAGAAAGCATTTCCAATTATTTCTCTCTGAGTACACATGGTGTGATTGTTCGTTTATCAGCGCATGTGTAACCGATATGGACTCGAAGTCATTGTCACCGAGACCACGACTGTGCGCTTGTTTACGTACCTTATCAATGATGTTTAGTCTGGCGCTACACTGAAAGATAAAATTCAAAATTGTTGAGTGCGTATTTTGGAATACAATTTTATCGCTTTTTATCGATAGGGATCTATTTTAAAACTCCGTAAATGAATTGTAAAAAAAGTTAAAGCTATGTTTATACATATTAAATGTATCACATCAATATACAGTAATGTATATTGATGTGATACATTTACCGATGTGATACATTGTATCACATCAATATACATTATTGTATATTGATGTGATACAATTCTTTCTTTTCTTTTCTATTTGGTATAGGTATAAAAAGAGAAATAAAAACTCAAACCTCAATCCTTTTCTTAGAAAAGTTTGTATATTGTATATAACGGTAATTGCGAGATAATATAGTATATCTTGAATTGTAACAATTGCCTTATATTGGGTTCAAGTTCGGCCGGACGACAATGAACTTGGCCAGCCATGACTCATGCGTGCTTGATGCCACTGTAATATTATGAAACCAATAACGCCGCATCTCCGAATGCAACCGAACACTATACACCATACCAACTACCATACAATGTATCGACCATTTTGGATCTACTGCTAAAAAGGATTGACTAATTTATAAAACGAAATTAAATTATTCAACGATTTAAAAATTGCCTAAGCCTAAGAACCGTGTCCCGACCTGGGGCGTGGGGCAGATAAAGTGTTCGACTGTTGATATATATATAAATATATATGTAATTGATCAAACTTTACTTTCTTCTTCTTTAGAAACATTCCATCTTGCCTCGGTTTGAACTCCGAAACTCGCGCGATTAACGCATGGCTAAGATTTCATTCAAACACAGCGGCGATTACCATATAAGGACAATATTTTCTACAAGCAACGAATAATAACGGATAAATCTTGAAGGAAAGTCGAGGAACACTATCACTAATATTTAAGGAGCTTCATTAAAATCTATACCAAAGTAACATCGAACGCATTTCTTCTTCTTAATTAGGCGACTTCATTCACGAAACAAAAGTCGTGCGGCTAGTTTGACTGAAACAATATGTCGTTTCCACGGGATTTGAATCCGAGACTTTTATTATTATTAGTGCTTAACGTATTGCTCGGCAACGCATTTAACAATTGAGACGGAAAACAGGAAAATTATACTACATATAATAATCACACTAAAATCCAGTGTTTCTAACGAAATTGCTGAGACAAAATTTTCCCTTCACCACGTTGGAACGTCAAAAATTCCGTGTCTCCAGGTGTAAAGAACGCGATAATTAGGTATTCACCTGGTCTGTTAACAGCAGCGTGTTCACATAAACGTGAGTGACATGATTGGAGTTAAGATCGTCGAAGCAGTTAACACAGCGACCGTGACATTGAATACAAAATGACATTATACGTGTTTCGTGGAGCGATTTCATTTCCACAAGGTCTCCAAGGTCTCCGAGCTATTGGCATATTATTCGTACCAGACGGTTGTAAGCAGAGATCATAATCTAGCCAGCCATGAAACAGTGAAGGCCACACGACATCTCGAATATTTTCATAATTCAAAAATTTAAAATCCCTCTTTGTCTTTCATTGTAAAGCTTAATATAGGCTAGTTGTAATAAAAAGTACAATTTTAGTTTACTGCTAAAAGCTAAGTATGCGACAACTTTGTGATTTTCTTCGTACACGCTAAGTCAGCGGACTTAAGTTTGATTCTCAAAAAAATATTTTGCTCGAGCAAATTAAAGGCTAATCTACCATGTATGTATTTAAATTGATCGATCATAATAGTCCCAATAAAACCAATATTAAATCTGTCATTCTACTTAATTTGTCCATTTCTAGACACAATTTTTTTATGGTAGAGGAGGATAGACAAACAATTAGTTGAACTTCACGGCCCTATCCATCTGTGATTCGTGATTTGGGCTGAATTTATATCCATTTAACATACAGATTTTCAGAGTAAGTCCTACATGTTTCAGCAAAAATATAAATTTATTAGAAATATGTTGGGCCCGGTGAGGATTGACTCGCGACCCGCGATCGATTATTACAAAAATTACCATAAAATTTGATTACAAATAGCCAAGCCATTTGGTCAAAAAAGAGTAACAGACATCCAAAGATCCAACCGTCTACCCTTACCCATTTCTCATATTGGATTTTCCGTGCGCTCCTCGAGATCTTACAGCTAAAAGCTGTTTTATATCAGGCGCCATGATACGCAGTGAAATTGCTAAAAATAAAAACCACTTCAGCTCTCATTGTTCGATGTCTCCTGCGGGTGTAGCTCGAAGAAAGCCGAAGCATCCCGAAGATTTCCGAAGGGATGACAGGCGAGCTTTCCGTGGAACGCGGAAAACGTCGGCACATGTTGAAAATACGGATGGCCATTGACCCCGACCGCTTGGGCCGAACCTACAGCTGTTGGTGAATCTAGTGCGCATCCTATGCCTTTATTTATATGTGTAAGTCGACTAGATCACAGGCATACTACGGCCGACAAAAGAAACAGACGAGAGACGACTGTTGCACTTTTGTCTTAGAACAACAGGGACATCAATTATGTACACGAGCTTCTTTATTGGAAGCGGAAGAGTTCTACTTTGTAATTTAAATTTTATCTTGTTTTAAATACTGTCTATAGTTTATGCGAGTAGTACACATTTAAATAAAACACTTTAACGGTTTAAAATGCGATATATTAGTTAAACTTATTTGAAAAAGGATTTTTAACTTCGGCCCGACTAATATATCGCGTTTTAAACCGTTAAAGTGTTTGATCTTGTTTTTTTTTTTCAAGTAACTCACCTTTTTTCTATTTCTATACATAGATTACGAAACGCAACAAAATTAAATTCGGTTTTAATAAGGGCAATAATGCTTTGTTTTCTGTCAATGACATTAAAGAAACAAGCTTAACAAATTAAAATATACCATAATTTTCACTAAGTTCTTATGAACTTAGTGAAAATTATGTACTCGAGTACTTTAATAATGCCTTTATAGGCATTATTAAAGTACTCGAGGCATACATATAAGAGACGCTGTAACGATTAGAGGAAAGGACTTAATTCTATATAAGGTTTCTAATGGGACTGTTAATAAACAACACCATATATTTTAACAATTTAACTAACTTCTCATTATTTTAAAATCGGCTTCAAACTTATATATCTCAAAAAAATAAGAGGGATTTTTAGAATTAAAACATCACCAACGCGTCGGCTGACAATTCAACAGTCAAAATATCATTTTACCTATCCAAAACAAAACAAGAACGTCCAAACATCTGTCACATTGAAAAAACATTTAGAATATTTGTAAATAAAAATTTCCATATAATAATATATTGACATTGAATTTATGTAAGTAAAAGTGACACTTATTAGAGCCACTCCTCTCCCATCGAACTCGTTGTGAACAAGATTTATTATTCGAAATTTAAAAGCAATTAAGCCGACACGAGTGTAAACGAAGCGTTGGACGCGGGGACTTAACAATGTATTTTAAGAAAGTAAATCTTAATATTTCATTGTCGTCAGAGATTCCTGTTTCCGTTTTCGCATATTTTATCATTTTAAAAACGCTCTTTTAAATGAATGCAAATGTGTATGCTTACGACAAACTACTTTCAATTGTTTACTTACATTTTGAAAGCCAATTAGTAAAAACACATTGTGTCGATGTGTAAAAATATTATAAAATTTATAAGAAAATCGATTCCTTAGTATTTGTATAATAGTGTGCTTGTAAGGTTATAGAAAAATATTTCTGTGCTTTCTGCATCAAAAGTTCTCCTTTTTTATAAATTTAGAAGTAAGGCTTAGAAGAAAGTTTTTTGTCCCTTATCTTACTTTAGTGAGTAAATTGATTCAGTGTCAAATAAAAGAGTAGCAACTTAGCCATTTTGAAGAAATATTATTGTTTAGTAATCAAATTATTGTTATTTAAATTAATTATTATTTAAATTATTGTTGTTAATAAACGACTATTTTTCCGTTAAAATTTAATTACAAAGTGTTAATACGTTTTAATCTTTCTAAAAGTACAATTTATTGAATAAAATATTTTTAACTACAAACATAAAAAAAGGAAAAAATACGTCGCGCAATATATACAATGTTTTCGTATAATTGAGCGCGATGTTTTCAAAGAACCAAAATCATTAAAGAGATGTGAAAAATATGACTCTTATTAAAGTGCTTTCACGTTTATTTTTGAGAAGGTTTATTTTTCCACAGCGCGAGTCCACTTTGTCGAAATTGCAACTGTGGACACTAAATATTTTTTTATTTGACGCGACGCGACGTCTCGTTAGACGGATTTGAGATGCTGCGAATACACAATATCTTTTTTATTTTATGTACAATAAAGTTTAATCATTACTTGAAGAGATTTTAAAATCTTGTAAACATCGGACGATAAAATGTAAAAGTATTTTTTGTTTTTATAAATCACGATGATAAGTTTGTTGTAAATTGTATTATTTTACTACAACGGCGCAGTTATGTTAAGAAATTAGACAATTTTAAAAGACAAATACTTATTTTCGTAGGTTACTAATGAGATTTAAGTCCAACAAATTATTTGAAACTGAAATTTTAGGGTTACAAAAATACTTTAACAGATTTAAAAGTGAAAATTTTGAATTACACTATTATCGCGTTAAAATGAAACACTACGAAAATGTCCGGAAATCGGCAACGTCAGGGAGGTCGTTGAACCCGGTGCTGAGTCAATGTCAGCGTTATGCGGCCCGGGTCCAAGATTCGGTGGAATAAGGGTGAGTTCGGGCACGGGGTAGCACCCGGGCTAGCAGGGTGCACCCGTGCAGGGTAACGACCGGGCCGGGGTCGTCGGCCGGCGCCACGCGGCCGCGAGAACGGGCCATCCGATTGATTGGAGCAGCGCAACGATACTCCACAGTACCCTTATGATTCAATTACCCCCCGACCCAATGCGGAAAATTATACTTTGTTCCGCAACGGATAAGGCATCGTTTAGCGCGCCGAATCGCAGTTCGATGGAACCTTATTCGGTTAGGGTGCTAACACACACGAGCACGTTAAGGGAAGTAGTTTTGCTCAAAATATTGATTTTTCCGCGGGCTTCGCGGCCATGCGGCTGTGTGCGTGCGGCGTCTCGATGTGTGCGTTATGTCTATTTCGGATGTAGCACGTGGTCTTAGTTGTTGCTTGTTGACATGCGTTTTTTTATGACGGCGAACTGTTTATTACTTTACGTAATGTTTTTCCAGGACTTATGGCCCGCGTGTTGCTCTTTTACGTGCATTTGTCTGTAATAAATTAAATTACTATCACGTACACTACACCACACAATAAATTAAATTAAATTACTTACGCTTTAATCATTTGAAAGACTTAAGTAAAAAAATTAAGAATGTTCTCCAGAGAATTGAACTTCGAACATTCTTTATTTGAATTTAAGCTCAAGAGCGGAAATGACGACATTTTTATTTATAATGTGTATGTAATGTTCGTCGATACGTAGAAACGGTTATCGACACACGCACACACACTTCCGGCTCTGCACGGTGCTAGCCTTACCCTTGATTTTGCCCGCTCAAGGTCTCTACCCTATACGCATTCATTTCCACTGGTTTCCCTATAAAGCTATCCCCTTCTAGAGTGCGGACGACGTCGAAATTCAACGATCTGCCGACGGGGTCAACGCCCGAGACAATATACGTATTGGTAAATAAACATTGTATTACATAATGAATTTCTATCAATTGTTTTGATTTGGTTTCCGCGCTTCCGTCGTGCGAGCCACAAATAGATTATGAATGTACTCATTGGTTTATTTCGATGTTGAAACAATAATGTTTTCTGACGCGAAATTATTCAATATTCATACGACGATTGGCGAGCGGATTTGTAAAAACTAATGTATTATAATGTTTACTTAACGGTAAGCTTCAAATATGAAGCGATGTGTTACTTGGTGTGAGCTATTACACGAAATATTTAAAGAATGGTTGAGAACTTTGTTTTCTGGATAAATGAAATTACCTTTATTTGTCTCTGTCTAACAATTCATATTTAGAAAAATTGGTGTTAAAAACCTTCAACTAGTAATTCCACCTTTTACATAGAATATTCTTAAAAAAAGGGTACCTAAAGAACATTAAAGAAAAAAAATATAAAGAAGAGCAAATTTCAAAAAATTAACCCAAAATATGCCAACTTTTTTCCATGAAAAGTTTACTTCCTAGTTATACAGATAAAATTTAAAAATAAAATATTTAAAACCCCATTCCCCAAAGTGCAAATGGACGTGTAATTATTTATTTTGTCTTTCCAGAAATTGACCTCTAACTTCCTAATTTGTTAAATCATTTCATCACGGTGGCGGTGACAAATAACTTAACATAAGTAATAGAGCGTGTTTGTATATATAACTTAAATTAAGGCGCAGCATAAACATAAATTTGTTTTCCCAAACTTAAAAACCGTTTCCAATGTGTGCATTTCCACGCGCTTAACATGAAATCGCGTCAAATTAAAGCCGATAAACAAAACCTGAAGTGTCATAACAGGCGCCGTGCGTTGATTACGTTAGTACTTAGTGCAATGGGGATGGGGCGCGACCTACCCCACCCGGGACCTACGCCAACGATGCACCCTTATCTATACATCTAGACGTCTAGATGTAGATAAATGTCTGGCACTAACACACACAAGTGCGCGCGGGCGATACGTAAATATTGCACGTTTGGGCGACATTTTTGGCTGTTACTATACTATTTCGTCGTCATTGTAGAGGTAAAGAGTGTGATTATGCAATATTGAAGTGTGTATGTTATGGTTTTACCATCGATAGACTTTCCTATATAAACCAACGCTACTGAGTGTGACTAACACAGCTGATACCAATTACTATTTTTTAAATATTTATTATTTAGATACATAATTGATTTACGCAACTTAGTAGTTATAAGTTTACAGTAAATGTGATAAAAGGGGCAATAAAAAACAAAAACCATAATTAAACGCTAATATAAAACGATCGCTGTGATATATTGAAAAACATGTTTAATATTTATTAAATATCCTGATATGTTGAGTCGCAATCGGATTAGGATTTTAATAAAAAACAGATTTCAGCTTTTGAAAACTTTATTATTTTTTACATATTATATTGCACATGAAGGCACTATATAATTTAAAAATCGAAAATAAATTGAAAAAAATTTCGCATGCTCAGAGCAACAGCGCGGAACGCTGACGATGCCGGTTCAATTTATTTTAGATTTTTAAATTATATAGATTTCAGCTTTAAAATAAATTACCACACAGGCAGGAATTGAACCTACATCCACAGCTTTCCGTGCTGTTGCTCTAAACAAATGAGCTACTGTGTTCTACCTGACG